CTCCTGCGGTCAGGTCTTCCCGGTGTGGGTGCCTGGAATGGCCCTTGGGCGGGAGAACCCGGGTGGGCGGGGCGAAGCGCTGCGCCTCATCCTGGCCGAGCTCCCGGCGCCTGGCTCTCCCCGGTCCCCGGACGGGGAAGGGGCCACTCCGGCGGGGCGGGACCCCAGCCCAGGGGCGTTCAGGGCCCGGGTGAGGTTTGATGGGCAGCAGGGTCCGGAGCTCTGCCCTGGCTTTCAGACCCCTCTCGTCCCTCGGGGGGCCCCACCCTCCCCGAGTTCCTCGCTCAGACAGCCGGGTATGAATGAGCCCGTCTGCGCTCTCATTGACACTGGGTGTCCCCGAATTGCTTTACTCCAACCAGGAGCCCCCGGCAGCTCGCTCCCCGCAGGCAGAGGAACCCGAGGGTGTGGAGGCGAGTAGTAAACCTCACTGCCTGGTAGCAGGGGACTCGGAAAGGGGCCGTTTATTTCTCTAGGTTTTCTATAACGCCTAACATCGAGGTGATTCCATTGAGCCCAAGGCATGTTGCAGTATTTTAAAAATATAATCACAACTGTATTTAAGTGCAGGCTGTGATGAAAAAACAACAAAACCCACACCTCTTCTGATCAGTGAGTTAACTCATCCTTTTCTAATATATAAGAAATTTTCTAATACATTGGTTGTCAAAAAAATCTTTAAAATTAAATTTGGGGTAAAAAGGTATGTCAGGCTTTTAAATTGTACTCAGAATTGTGCTTATTTTCTAAGAATAGTTTCGATATAGTGCTTTAAGACTATAGAGTAGTGGCTGCTAATCACAAAAACGGTGTTAAAATCTGATAGCACTTTTCTTTCTTCAAATTTTATTATTTTTTAAATGACCATATAGTAAAATTGACTTTTTGTGGCGGTGTATTCTATGAATTTTAGATTCATGTAACCACATGACAATCAGGATGTAGAACAGTTCTATAACCCCCCCCCCAAAAAAAAAAACTCCAACAAATTATGGTATCCTTTCCCCAACTCATAAATTACAGATGCTCCTCAATTTATGGTGGGGTTAGGACCTGATAAACCCACTATAAGTTGAAAATAATTCGAAATGCATTTAATACATACTATGCTGTAGGGTATCAGTTGTTTACACTCCTTATTTCCTGGCGGAGTGGGAGCTGCGATCCCCTATTCCCCCCCCCACACACACACCCCCTTCCTCCTGCTGCTGCAGTCCAGCATCACAGGAGTATATCATACTGTATATCACTAGCCTGAGAAAAGGTCAAAATGCAAAATTTGAAGTATGGTTTCTCCTGAATTCCTATCGATTTCACACCATCGTAAAGTTGAAAATTGTAAGTCGAACCATGTAAGTCTGGGACCATCTGTACTGTTTGTTCATTCCTAGGATATCATATAAATGGAATCATGTAACATGTAACCTTTTGATGCCGACTTCTTTCATGCCTTTTTTGAGATTCCTCCAAATTGTTGCATGTATCATCAATTTTTTTAAGTTGCTAAGTAGGATACCATGAGATGGATGTGTCAGTTTATACATCCACCCATTGAAGGACATTTGGGTTGGTTCCAGTTTTGAGTGATTATGACTAGAACTGCTATCAACATTGGTGTACAGGTTTTATTGTGAACCTAAGTATTCATTTCTCTAGGCTATTGCTAGGGTCGTGTGAAGTATGTGTAACTTTTAAGAAATTTTTACACCGATTTCCAGAGTGGCTGTATCACTGCATTTTGACCAGTGACAATGTGAGAGTACTAGCTGCTCCACAGCCTCCCTAGCACTTTGTATTGTCAGCATTTTTAAGTTTAGCCATTCTAATAGGCATGGAGTGGTGTCTTGTGGTTTTAATGTGTCTTAAACTAATGGCTAAAGATGTTGACTATCTTTTCAGGTGCTTATTTTTTTTAAATATTTTATTGATTTTTTACAGACAGGAAGGGAGAGAGATAGAGAGTTAGAAACATCGATGAGAGAGAAACATCGATCAGCTGCCTCCTGCACATCTCCTACTGGGAATGTGCCCGCAACCCAGGTACATGCCCTTGACCGGAATCGAACCTGGGACCTTTCAGTCCGCAGGCCGACGCTCTGTCCACTGAGCCAAACCGGTTTCGGCTCAGGTGCTTATTTGTTAGATTTCTTATGTTGAATTTTGAGGGTTCTTGATATGCTCTGGATAAAAGTTATTTGTTCAACATGTGTTTTGCAGATATTTTCTCCCAGGCTGTAGCCTGTCTTTCACAGAGCAGATGTTTTAATTTTCATGAAGTCTAACTTATCAATTTTACATTTTGTGGATCTTTTGGTATCATGTCTAAAGAATTCTGCCTAACTTCAGGTCAAGAAGATTTTCACCTTCTAAAAATATTTTTCTAAAAATTATAATTTTACATTTATACCTATGATTCATTTGGGGAATTATTTGTATAAAGTGTGAGGGGCTCAGCCGGCATGGCTCAGTGGTTAAGCATCAACCTATGAACCAGGAGGTCATAGTTCAATTCCCAGTCAGGGCACATGCCCCGGTTGCTGGCTCTATCCCCACTGGGGGGGGCGTGCAGGAGGCAGCAAATAAATGATTCTCATCATTGATGTTTCTATCTTGCTCTTCCTCTCCCTTACTCTCTGAAATCAATAAAATAAAATTATATATATATATATATATATATATATATATATATATATATATATATATATATTTAAGTGTGAGGGGAAGATTTACTTTTTAAAAATATGAATGTCCAGTTGTTCCATCACCATTTGTTGAAAAGACTGTCTTTCTCCATTGAATTGTTTTTGCGCCTTTGTAAAAAAAATCAATTGGCTATATTTGTGTGTATCTAATGTGGGGACCTCTGTTGTATTACATTGATTTATGCATCTTTCTCTTTGCTAGAATCATACTTTTTTCAATTAAGATAGCTGTATAATATATTAATATCAGGTAATAAGACTTCCTCCAATCTTATTCTTTCTCAAAATTGTTTTAGCTATTCTAGTTCCTTTATCTTTCCATATAAAGTTTAAAATCAACTTGTGTCTAACTACAAAAAAATCCTGCTGTTACTTTGGAATTGCATCAAACCATAGGTCAATTTGGGGAGAATTGCTGTTTTTCACTTTATTGAGTCTTCTCATCTATGAACATAATACAGCTTTCTATTTATTTAGGTCTTTGTTTCATTAGCATTTTGTAGTTTTCAGCATACAGATCCTGTACGTTTTGTTAGATTTATTCCAAAGTATTTAATATCTTTGGAATTCTTATAAATGTCATCTAAAACTTTTTGGTTTCAAATTATACATTGTTAGGATATAGAAATACATTTGAGGGTTGCGTGCTGCTCTTTATTGTGCATCCTTACTAAACTCATTTGTTAGCTGCAGGATTTTTTTTTTTAAATTCCTTGGAGTTTTCTACATAGATACTCATGTCATCTGTGAATAGAGATAGTTTTCTTTCTTTTTTCCCTAATCTGTAAGGTGTTTGTTTGTTTTGCCTATTGCCTTGGCTAGGACTTCGAGTATGATGAATAGGTGAAGTGAGAGTGGACATTTCCCATAAGGGGGAAAATGATCAGTCTTTCAGAATTAATTATGATGTTAGCTTCAGGATGTTTTAATAGATGCCCTTTATCCGGTTGAAGAAGTCCTCTTTGTTTCTAGCTTGCCAAGTGTTTTTCTCACAAATGGATGTTGAATTTTGTCCAATATTTCCTTGGCATTACTTGATATGGTGATGTGTTTTTTCTTCTTTACTCTGTTAATATGGTGGATTATATTGATTGATTTTTGAGTATTGAACCCACTGGTGTTAATTCTTAAAAAGTTTGTTAGAAGTCTTCGATGAAGTCACCTGAGCCTGGAGATTCCTTTTTGAGTTTTAAGTTACAAATTCAATTTCCTTAATAGTTATGGGGCCATTCAGATTATCTATTTTACAGAGGGTGAGTTGTGGTAGTTCATACCTTTCAGGGAATTGGTCCATCTCATCTAAGTTTTCAAATTTATGTAGAGTTGTTTGGTGTATTTATCCTTTTGAATCTGCAAAGTCTGTAATGATTGATATCCCTATTTTATTTCTGATTTTGGTAATTTGTGTTTTCTTTTTTCTGTTTGTCAATTTTATTGATCTTTTAAAAAATCCAGCTTTTTGTTTCATTAATTTTATCTTTCTGTTTTCAATTTCATTAATTTCCATCCTTTTGCTCACTTGGGGTTTATTTGCTCTTCTTTTTGTACTTTCTTGAAGTGGGAGCTTAGATTATTGATTTGAGATTTTTCCTAAAATAAGCATTCACTGCTATAAATTTTCCCTCTGCACATTAACTGTGTCCCATAAATTTTGACATGTCTTCATTTTTATTCATTTCAATTACTTTAAAAATTTTCTCTTGAGCTTCTTCGTTGGCCCACAGATTGTTTAGAGGTCTATTAATAAAGATTCAAAAATGAATGATACTGTGGCCCTTCCTTTTTAAAGAATTTACATTAGGTAAACAGTGGGGCGGGGACCTTCATCATGGCAACAAATTCTTGCAATTCAGTATAACTATTTTTTGATAAAACAAGGATAGCTTATTTTTTATTGTACAGTTTTTATGTCATGAAAAAATAATTTTATTTTCATTTTAAACCGCAGATTTGAGAAGTAAGATCTGATCACCTGGAATTAAAGTTGGTACAGAAACCTTTTCAACTCCAAAAATGTTGGAGGAAGATATGGAAGTGGCCATCAAGATGGTGGTTGTCGGGAATGGAGCAGTTGGAAAATCAAGTATGATTCAGCGATATTGCAAAGGCATTTTTACAAAAGATTACAAGAAAACCATTGGAGTTGATTTTTTGGAGCGACAAATCCAGTATGTATTTGGCCATTTTATCTTCTTGGTTTTGATTTGTGAACTGTGTCCAGGACTTTTGCCAGAGTAATAGTAACTAATCACAGTCCAGTTCACGGCAAGGCCTCCAGAGGCAGTGGCTCATGAAGTAGTTGGTGGTGGTTTTCGGTTACTCATGCTGTACATACTAAAGTATCTTTATCTTTCTGTCCTTCCCCACCTTCATCTCTTTTCCCTTCTTCTCTCATGTTCTTTTCCTATTCCCCTCCAGCCTCCCTTTTCATTTTATCTTATATCTGTTCTGTATTTATTGGTGGCACTTTAAGCACTTCTTAAACACAAACTGATACTTGAGTCTAGTGAGATTCCATGCACTATTTTATTTGAAAGGAAAGTTGTCTGTCAGAATACTTCTCATCTCTTATATTATGGGATCCTTTTGTTTAGAATGTCTCTTCTCTTTTTAAAACTGGGCAAGACTATATAGAAGTTAGAGAGTTAATAATTAATAATTTGTTTTTACTCTAAAGAAATAAGAGAAAGCAGGTTTGGGAGGATTAAATACTTCTGTGAAAAGGAACTCTTCAAGAAATCCAATTTGATTCTAATACACATCAAAGTAACACTTTTTGTCATTAGTCTTGAGAACTTTATAGGGTATCTTAAATTGTAAGAGACAAACTAAATTGTATTACGGAAATAAGTAACATTAAACAAATCTGACTTAACTAGCCCAGACATTAGCATCAAAGATAATTGTGTTCATTGTTTTAAGGATTGTTGGATGTCTAATTTGTATTCTGTTATCCTGTTTGTAAAACTATTTTTGTGCCTGGCCGGTGTGGGTCAGTGGTTGAGCATCGACCTATGAACCAGGCGGTAACTATTTGGTTCCTGGTCAGGGTACACGCCCAGGTTACAGCCTCGATCCCCAGAGGGGGGGATGCAGGAGGCAGTGGATCGATGATTCTCTCTCAAAGTTGATGTTCTATCTCCCTCTCTCTCTGAAATCAATAAAAATATTTTTAAAAGAATTTTAAAATATTTTTGTATTTGCTTCCTTTAGATATTTTAAGAAGATTAATGCTTATGTTTTTGTACTTGTTATCTGAATCAAATTAATATTTTAAGTATATGGTCGATTCTCATTATTTGTGGACTCTGCATTTGCAAATTCACCTACTTGCTAAAATTTATCCATAATCCCAGAATCAATACTCCCAGTGCTTTGGTGGTCATTCGTGGACATGCACAAAGCAGCAAAAAATTTGAGTCACCCTACACACACATTCCCAGCCTAGGTGGAACAAGACGACTGATTGTCTTTCTTTTTATTTAGTCTCTCAGACTGTAAACAAGTGTCTTTTTAGTGTTCTGTTTTTGTGCCACGTTTCTGTTGGTGATTTCACTGTTTAAAATGGCCCCCAAGCATAGTACTGAAATGCTGTCTAGCGATCCTGAAGGCAAGAAGGCTGTGTGTTGTGCCTTACAGAGATAACACGTGTGTTAGATAAGCCTCGTCCAGGCATACGTTACAGCGCTGTAGGCTGTGAGTTCAATGTTAATGAATTAACAACATATATGAAATAAGGTGTCTTTAAACAGAACCACACAAAAACAAGGTTATGTATTGATCAGCTGATGAAAATGTAACCAGGGGCTCGCAGGAATTTAACCCTGTATTTCCCATAAGAGCAGTAGGTTAGTATTTGCTAATTCAGTGTTTGCTGTGACTTAATAGAATGTGAGCAAGACTATGGACTGTATGACAGAGTAAATTTTTGAGTTAAAGGGCAACCAAGCAGGTAAGCTGCAGTTTTCCTTTCCAATTCTATCACTTGTGTAGCAGAGGAGAGCAAAAACTGACCTGAGGGAATTCCTCTTTCCCAATACTGCTCGGCTGAGGCCACTAACTGTGAATGTTGTCAAAGGGGAAAACATGGCAGGTAAATTCAAATCATGTGTAAAGTTAAAACTTTGCAGGAATGTCTTTCACCGTTACTTCCACTTGGTAATTGTATCTGCATTTAAAACTACTCAGACTTTTTCATAGTGAAAACAATATTTTTAATACTTCCAAATTTGAAAGATAAAAATATACACAAAGCTATATTACTAAAGACATTTTCTTTACATTGAAATCTGTCTCTTGTTTCAGAGTTAATGACGAGGATGTCAGATTAATGTTATGGGATACGGCAGGTCAAGAGGAATTTGATGCAATAACAAAGGCCTACTATCGAGGTAAATTGTGGGGTGTTTTGTTTTGTTTGTTTGGGCATGTTCTTTTGGCTAAGCAGACAACTTTGCTTTTTTTTTTGCTTCCCATGGAAAGGGTTCTCTTTAAGAATACTTAAATTAATTTCAAAGCAATTTTTTAAAATGCCAAGTCATTTTTCTTCAAAGGATCTTGATGAGGGGTAAATAGTATTTGTAATATAGGGTGCTGGTCTCTGCCTTTAGAATTACATGATTTATACAGGCATCCCCAGACCTAGTCAGTCAGCAACTGGTAAATGCCTATCTCTGACCCCAAGGAAGTGACTAGATAGTCAGAGAGTGAAAACTATCATATAAAAAAGTAAAGCCCCTGTAAATAGGATGACATTTTGTTATTACATGAAATTTCATGGGTAAAGCCTTTTCAGTGTTATAGGAGTTCAAAGAAGTGTGAGATACATGTGAAAGGAAAGAACTACAACTGTAGGATTTAAGATCTAAAATGTAGGGTTAAATTCCTCAAAAGAGCTTAGATTTCTAAGTTTCCATTACATTTTTCTAAAATTTTGTCCTTTTCTTATGGAATTTAAAACAGCATTTTTAGTGTTCCTCCAACTCACTGCCAATGGTGATTGTGATGAGAACAAAGTAACTGAAAGCTTAATCTAGTACCATGTAACATTATAGCCTATTGATGCTTTTGAATATATATGTTGTTTTTTTCCACTTTTGAAAATGTGGGATTTATTATTATGCAACTGAGGTCTAATAAAAACATAATTACACTAACATATAAGCAACCAAAAAGTTGGCTTTCTAAATTGTTACCAAGGAAACTTGACTTCCCCTGCCCACTCTAAGAAAACATTTTGGGTCCTTGAGAAATAAGGGAGGTACACCTCTCAGGTGTCATCCTAATAATGTCACCATTCCTTACTGCTCACTCTTTTTACTGTGTCCTTAAAGGCTTCCCATCTATTGAAGCTTTGATTATCGCTCTCCTGTGGTGTGAGGTGAAATTATGTTCTTACTCCCAAAGCTCTTAAAATAGATCAAATTATGAATTTCATGAGCATTGACACTTTTGATTAATGGGTCCTAACTGCACAGTTTATTCTTGAGTAAAGGTTATTTGTACTTTTTTAGTGGGGTTATTATACCACAACTGCCTCCTCCCCTCTCCCTACACAAAACAGGAAAAAATAAAACAAACAGAAAACCTAGGTGGAAACATCAACAGGTAGGAGGAATGCACGAGATTGTCATTATTTTCTTTTTACTTACCTAGTTTACTTCTCTATAAAGTCTTGCCCTGAAATATATGTTCTTTTTGTGAGGAAGAAAAATAGGTTGGGCTATTTTTAAACTTTTGATGACTTGATATGGTAGTATTACTTTTTAATCAGTATGTTACTTTTGGAGAATATATTTATTATTATGAACCTCTAGCTTATAAAAGGCAAAACTGGTCAAATGTAAAAAATGATTTGATTTGTATATAAATAAAAAGGAGAAAATGTTGGAACCATACAGTTAAGTAGATCAATTGGGTCCCTGATTAAAAATGACCAGGTAGCCTAGCTGGCGTGGCTCAGTGGTTGAGTGTCGACCTATGAACTGGGAGGTCACAGTTTGGGTTGCAGTCTCGATCCCCAGTAGGGGGGCATACAGGAGGCAGCCAATCAATGATTCTCTCTCATCAGCGATGTTTCTCTCTCTCTCTCTCTCTCTCTCTCTCTCTCTCTCTCTCTCTCTCTCTCTCTCTCTCTCCCCCTCCCTCCCTCCCTCCCTTCCACTCTGAAATAAAACATATATTTTAAAAAAAGACCAGGTAGCTAAATATTTTAATTTGCACTGTACTTGAATATTAATGCTTTCTCCATTTTTGCCATAAGACCGTGTTCAATATTATTATCTTTTAACTTTTAAAATTTGGTTCATCCAGTTTGTTGTGTACTTCTTGTTTCATACTTTTAAGGTGTCCAGAAATCATGATTTTTCTTTACTATATCTACAGAAAACATTCTGGGCCAGAAACTAAAAAGAGCCCAAACTAGTATTTACATTTTAATTTATAGTGGGTGTTTAAATTTCTTTCCAGTTTGTGAACTAAAAGACTTTAAACAGCTTGGATTTCCCTATATTTAACATTTTAACTTAAAGTAATCTCAAGCATATAAGTAGATGTCTGTTAAAAGCTTTTCTTAAAATGCAACTAACTTTTTTAGTTCCTCCTTATACTGCTTTTCTTTTTGGTCAGCAGTGGAAGCCACTTCGTTTTCACATCCTTGGGGAGAGAGGGTTGCTTCCCACACCAATGGATTAAAAGTTCTGAGCTTTTATCTGATTAGACCACTCTTGACCAGATTATAGTAAGTAGTTAGAGGAATGGGATTACCCTAATTGGCTTGGTGCATTTAGGGCCTCAACTTCCAGAGCAGAGGCTACAGTTAACCTGTCTAAACCCTGGCTAGTGTGCAGTGGGGGAGGGGTGTTCTCAGGAAGGGAGGGGAACTGGATGCCAGTTAGGCAACCAGGTCATACCTGCTAGTAGTATAGATTCAGATGATGATGTAATTAAATAGAAATAAAGACTAGGAAGAGAAGGAAAGGGCTAGGTAGGAAGCATGAATTAAGTAAAATATGGATTTAGTGGTGAAACAATATGCTTTATGAAATTATGACTTACTGATTTATGTCCTAGAAATGTATTATTCAAGATGCATAAAAATTTTGTAAATTTTATTTTTAAAAAAGAAAAATTTCACTATAATTCATTTAAAAGACCTATTATACCAAACACCATTGCTCTAAGGCATTTTTATATTCTTGGAATGCTGGCTTTATTGTATAGTGAGACATGTTGAAACATGACATCCTTGTAAATAGGTTAGAATAGAGCACAGATCATATTAGGAAGCCTTTTGGGATCCCAAATTATTCCTCTTAAGCTCTTTAAAAAAAAATTCTTTATTGTTGTAAGTATTACATATGTCCCCTTTTCCCCCCCATTGTCCTTTCCCACCTCCCCCCGCACCCCCCCTCCAGCCCCTCTCTGTGTCCAGTGGTTATGCTTATATGCATACAAGTTAAGTCTAGCCTAGGCAGTAGAAACCATACTTAGTACAGAAAGTTGCATACAACATAAAATAACTTTTCATTATACTTTTTTACTGTGATTGGTTCTAAGAAAAAGATGCTTCTTTCTATGCTTTAGATTATATAGAGTGTCCAAGAGAATAAGGGACAAGCACTTTAAATCTAGAGTAATATCTACATAACTAGAGGCCCAGCGCACAAAGTCGCACGGTAGTCCACCACCTCGCCCACCCGCACACCCTGCCCACCCGCCTGCTGCCCTGCCACGCTTGCAGCCCTGCCCATCTGCCTGCAGCTGTTCGCAGCATTTGAACTCTCTTAAGGGTGGTTGGGAGGGAGTTTCCAATCCCATTCCTTTTCCTCTAATGGTTTCCTGCCCCTCCCCCTTTCCCTATGCTGGTCAGGAGAGCCTCTGGCTGCTCCCCCCTCAAGGGCTAATCAGGGGAAAGAGCCTTTGACTTTGGCTATAAAAGCACCTGTCTAATCACTGAGCTTATTAGGCCACCTGGAGTCCAGATGCATAAGTTACTTCAAGTAAACATTGTTGGGGTGTGTGTGAAAATTTAGGTCTCTGATATTGAGAGGAAAAAACTATTGCTTTAAAATAATGACAACACCTATTTCAAATATTGTAATGAAAGTATGAAAAAAAAAACCCCTCACATAAAAAGGCTGCAAAAATGTTATTTTACTTTGAAGACAGTAATAACTGAAAATAACAGGTTTCTTTCAGGCCACATCCTAAAAAGGTAGCTGCTTTTTTATGTCTTAGGCCTATACAAAGGTCTTAAAAGACCCCTGACCCTGCTTTCTGAAGATTTTAGGTTAACAGGTTTGTCTCAAAAACTGTGAGGTGCCTAATTTTTAAAAACAACCAGCCACACCCTCTTCCTCAACCATATTGTCACATCATCCAAGTTATACTTTATAAACAACCTTGATGTGCTACACACGTGCTTGCGGGTAAACTACTTTGCCTTAGAAGTATATATTTAGTAATCACTTAGTTACATTATTTTATTTTTGTGAAATGAGAACTGATCGACCAAACCTTTCAAACAGACCCACCAGCTGATAAATAACACCATGTGTTTGATTCACAGTACATTTGGGCATAAACACTTCAATTACAGCTTTGTGTTTAGTATCAAAAACCTTTCCTTGTGTGCATGTTTTCGCTATAGATCCCTTACTCTGGATTACATTTTGAAAACTGCCTATTACAGATAAAGCACCTTTCCAGGTACACTTCTGAGAAACAGATGTATTTAAGCACACAAAGGTGTGTGCACACCTTTTTACGCACAAATGTCCATATGATGCCTCCGCCGCGCTCCCAGCACATGCCCACATGTGTGCGGCCGTGCACCGGGGTCCCAGTATAAACAGGCTGCCCCCGAACACGCGGGAACCCTGCCAGCCTCCCCAGCAAAGTTAACTGGCTTCACTACACTGGCTGCGGCATGAACCTCTCCACCCCCATGGGGCTTGGGGCCGGGCCGTGCGGCCCACACCTGCCCCAGCCACTCTGCCTGGGACTCCGTGCAGGGTGGGGATGGGGCGGGGCCACCAGTGCTGGGAGGTGCCTCGGAGCTCCAGCGGGTCTCTCTATTTTTTTTTTTTAATTTGCCATATTTGATTCAGTTCTTTTTTTAAAAATATATTTTATTGATTTGTTACAGAGAGGAAGGGAGAGGGATTGAGAGAAACATCGATTCAGCTGCCTCCTGCACACCCCCTACTAAGGATGTGCCCGCAAGCAAGGTACATGCCCTTGACTGGAATCGAACCTGGGACCCTTCAGTCCACAGGCTGAGCTCTATCCACTGAGCCAAACTGGTCAGGGCTCTCTTTATTTTTAAAAGACTGTGCCACACACGCCCAGCCCCCAGCACCGCCTGGGCCTGGGCGAGGGGCCACTGGTG